GACACTACTGCAAGAAATCAAAAGAGACCTGCATAAGTGGAAAAACATACCTTGCTCATGGATAGGTGGACTCAACATTGTGAACATGTCATTTCTACCCAAAGAGATCTACAGATACAACACAATCCCAATCCAAATTCCAATGGCATTTTTTAATGAGATGAACAAACAAATCACCAACTTCATATGGAAAGGGAAGAGGCCTCGAATAAATAAAGCATTACTCAAGAAGAAGAACAAAATGGGAAGCCTCATGCTACCTGATTTTAGAACCTATTATACTGCCAGGGTAGTCAAAACGGCCTGGTACTGGTACAATAACAGATACATAGACCAATGGAACAGAACTGAGAATCCAATGTAATTCATCCACCTATGAGCAGCTGATATTTGACAAAGGCCCAAAGTCTGTTAATCGGGGAAAAGATAGTCTCTTTAACAAATGATGCTGGCATAATTGGATCTCCATCTGCAAAAAAATGAAACAAGATCCATACCTCAAACCATGCAAAAAACTAACTCAAAATGGATCAAAGACCTAAATATAAAATTGAAAATGATAAAGATCATGGAAGAAAAAATAGGGACACCGCTAGGAGCCCCAATACATGGCATAAACAGAATACGAACCATAACTAACAATGCACAAACACTAGTAGCGAAACTAGATGACTGGGAGCTCCTAAAAATCAGACACTTATGCTCATCAATAAGACCTCAACAAAAGAGTAAAAAGGCAACCTGCAGACTGGGGAAAAAGTTTTGGCTATGACAAATCCAATCAGCATCTAATCTCTAAAATCTACCAGATACTGCAAAACCTCAACAACAAAAAGACAAATCACCCAGTTAAAAAATGCGCAAAGGATACAAACAGGCACTTCGCCAAAGAAGACATTCAGGCAGCTAACAGACACGTGAAGAAATGCTCACGATCATTATCCATTAGAGAAATGCAAATCAAAACTATAATGAGATACCATCTCATCCCAACAAGGCTAGCATTAATCCAAAAAAAAAAAAAAAAGAAATGTTTGAGAGGTTTGGAGAGACTGGAACACTTACACACTGTTGGTGGGAATGTATAATGGTACAACCACTTTGGAAATCGATTTGGTGCTTCCTTAAAAAGCTAGAAATAGAAATACCATACAATCCAGCAATCCAACTCCTTGGAATATTCTAGAGAAATAAGAGCCATCACACGAATAGATACATGCACACATGTTCACTGCAGCACTGTTCACGATAGCAAAAAGATGGAAACAACCTAGGTGCCCATCAACAAACGAATGGATAAACAAATTATGGTATATTCACACAATGGAATACCGTGCAACGATAAAGATCAACGATGAATCCGTGAAACATCTTATAACATGGAGGAATCTGGAAGGCATTATGCTGAGTGAATTTAGTCAGTCGCAAAACGACAAATACTGTATAAGACCACTATTATAAGAACTCAAGAAAAGGTTTAAACACAGAAGAAAACATTCTTTGATGGTTACCAGGAGGGTATGGGAGGGAGGGGGTAATCACTAACTAGATAGTAGACAAGAATTATTTTGGGTGAAGGGAAGGACAACACGTACTACAGGAGAAGTCAGCACAACTGGACTAAACCAAAGCTAATAAGTTTCCTGAATACAACCAAACGCTTCAAGGGACAGAGTAGCAGGGGCGTGGGTCTGGGGACCATGGTTTCAGAGGACATCTAGATCAACTGGCATAACAAAGTTTATTAAGAAAATGTTCTGCATCCCACTTTGTTGAATGGCCTCTGGGGGCTTAGAAGCTAGCGAGCGGCCAAATAAGATGCATCAATTGGTCCCAAACCACCTGGAGTAAAGGAGAATGAAGAACACCAAAGACACAAGGAAAGCAGCAGCCCAAGAGACAGAAAGGGCCACATAAACCAGAGACTTCACCAGCCTGAGACCAGCAGAACTAGATGGTTACTGGCTACCAACAATGACCGCCCTGACAGGGAACACAACAGAGACTCCCTGAAGGAGCAGTAGAAAAGCAGGGTACAGAACTCAAATTCTAGTAAAAACACCAGACTTAATGGTCTGACTGAGACTGGAGGAACCCCAGAAGAGACATGGCCCCAGCCTCTCTGTTAGCCCAAAACTAAAACCATTCCCGAGGCCAACTCTTCAGACAAAGATTAGACTGGACTATGGGACATAAAATGATGCTTGTGAAAAGTGTGCTTCTTAGCTCAAGTAGATACATGAGACTAAATGGGCAGCTCCTGTCTGGAGGCGAAATGAGAAGGCAGAGAGGGTCAGGAGCTGATTGAATGGACACGGGGAATCCCGGGTGGAAAGGAAGTGTGTGCTGTCACAGTATAGGGAGAGCAACTAGGGTCACATAACAACGTATGTATAAATTTTTGTATGAGAGACTAACTTGAATTTTAAACTTTCACTTACAGCACAACAATAAAAAAAAAGAAGGATGATCATTTAAAAATAAAAAGGACTTCACCAAAAGAGTAAAAAGAGAACCTATAGACTGGGGAAAAAGATTTTAGTTATGACATATCCAACAAGGGTCTAATCTCTAAAATCTATAGAGCACTTCAACACCTGAACAACAAAAAGACAAGTAATACAATCAAAAATGGGCAAAGGATATGAACAGACACTTCACCAAAGAAGATATGCAGGCGGCTAACAGACACATGAGGAAATGCTCGCCATCACTAGCCATTAGAGAAATGCAAATCAAAAAACTACAATGAGATACCATCTTACCCTGACATACTGGCACGAATCAAAAAAATAGAAAGTAACAAATGTTGGAGAGGCTACAGGGAGACTGGAATTCTTATGCACTGCTAGTGGGAATGTAAAATGGTACAATCATTTTGGAAAATGACATGACACTTCCTTAAAAAGCTAGAAATAGAAATACCATATGATCCAGCAATCCCACTCCAAGGAATATACCCTAGAGAAATAAGAGCCATCACACAAACAGACATATGCACAGCCATGTTCATTGCAGCATTATTCACAACAGCAAAAAGATGGAAATAACCTAAGTGCCCATCGACAGATGAATGGATAAACAAATTATGGTACATACACACAATGGAATACTATGTAATGATAAAGAACAATGACAAATTCTCAAAACATCTCACAACCTGGATGAATCTGTAGGACATTATGCTGAGTGAAATAAGTCAATTACAAAAGTACAAATATTGTATGAGACCACTATCATAAAAACCCAAGAAAACATTTACATACAGACAAAAAAAATCTTTGATGGTTAAGAGGGAGGGAGGTGTGGGGAGGAAAACCCACTTACTAGATACTAGACAAGTGTTAACTTTGGTGAAGGGAAAGACAACATACAACACTGGAGAAGTCAGCACAACTTGAACAATACAAAGTCACAGAGGCTTCCTAGGCTCATCCAAATCCCCTGAGGGACTGAATTACTGGGGCTGAGGGCAGGGGACCATGGTCTCAGCAGACATCTAGGTCAACTGGCATAACATAGGTCATAAAGAAAATGTTCTACATTCTACTTTGGTGAGTAGTATCTGGGGTCTTAAAGCTTGCGAGCAGTCGTCTAAGACACATCTATTGGTCCCATCACAATCAGAGCAAAGGAGAATGAAAAAAACCAAAGACACAAGGAAAATATCAGTCCAAAGGACTAATGGACCACATGAATCACAGCCTGTGTCCACAACTAGATGGTACCCAGCTACCACCACCTATGACTCAGACAGGGATCACAACAGAGGGTCCCAGACAGAGCAGGAGAAAAATGCAGAATAAAATTCAAATTCACAAAAAAAGACCAGACTTACTGGTCTGACAGAGATGGGAGGAATCCCAGAGACTATGGCCCCCAGATACCTTGCTAACTCAGAACTGAAGCCACTCCTGAAGTCTACCTTTCAGCCAAAGATTAGACAGGCCTATAATAGAAACAATAACACATGTGAGGAACGTACTTCTTAGTTCAGTCAAATACACGAGACCAAAAAGACAACACCTGCCCGAAAGCAAAGATGAAAAGGCAGGAAGGGACAGGAAAACTGGACGAATACACAGGAAGAACCCAGGGTTGAAACAAAAACGAGGAGAGTGCTGACGCATTTTGGGAATTACAACAAATGTCACAAAACAATTTGCATAAAAATTTTTGAATGAAAAACTAACTTGTGCTGTAACTTTCCCTTAAAACACAATAAAATAAAATTTAAAAAAAAGAATTTGCAAATCAACATCAACAAAAACCACAGAATGTTTATATTCTTCTGTGTTGCTCAATAGCTCCCCCATTGCCTTCAGGGTCAAGTTCAAGCTTTTTAGCCTGGTATATGATTTCCTTCATGGTCTTGCCCTGAATGTTCTCCAGCCTCATCTCCCACCACATTCACATGCTTCTTCCTTACAGAAATATTCATTTCCTTGAAGGTCCAGACTCCTACATTCTCTCTTGCCTTAGTGCCACTGCACAGGTTATTCCCACTCCTGAAATGCTCTCACTTCTCTCCCTCCCCTCTGTGTGACTAACTCCTACCCACCTTTAAGGTTCAGATCAAGCCTATTGGGAGTTTTCCTTTGAATACCCAGGTTCACTTTTCTATGAAAACTTTTATCTACGCTTTCCCACTCCCCACCCAACCCTGTGAGAAACTCTCAAGCCTTACTCATCCAGGGGTCCCAGTATCCTGGACTATATACATAGTAGGCAGGAGCTGCACACATACTAAGCACACATTAAATATTTTTGAAAGATTGAGAGGATGTCACTGAATTAATTACTTTCCATGTGGAGAGGGGACATTGAAACCACCCCAAATGATGCCAGGTGGTTTCCCATAGAGTCAGGTTTTCTAACTATCTGTCCCAAGCAGTATGAGATTCAGCAGTCAGATCACAACCAAATGTGCGAAAAGGCCAGCTTTCTACTCACATCAGGAGGCAGCATACTGGCCCAATTACATGCTCTCTTGGCTAGGATTTAAAGTTTAAACAAAAGGAGAGTTGCTTGCCTGGACCTAGAGAATAGGACAAATGAGTGAGGAAGTCTCCCATGTAGTCAAGGGCCTGAGAGCTCACCAGAACACAGACCTACACAGAAAGTGGCCTCAAAGGAAGCACCAGGTAGCCTACACACTCCCTAAAATGGTCTGGCTGGTGGAAATGAAGGCAGAATTGTTAGATTTTTCCTCAAGATCTGGAAGGCTATTATAGCATACTTTCTGAAACCACTATTGACCAACACATAGCAAGTAGTGGTTTATCAAGTGCATGGAAGTAGTGACTTACATCAAAGCCTTAGTTTAAATTTTATAGTTTCTTTCAGTCTTATAATTTCTCTGTTTAATCATAAAGTAAATTATCTTCCAAAATAATAAATGTTCACTACCTTTCTAAATAACAAAATACATTTTCCCAGCACATAAACCAATAGCTTTATTTTTATGCTAGAACTCATGTGAAATTGCACATCATGAATTACTTATGCCATCTAATTTAATTAAATTATTATTCCTGAATTCATATCTAATCCACAAAAATGTTTATCTCAATAAAAAAATTATCTCAGCACCCTTGAATAATAGATTTCTAGTAAAATTTCAAGAAAGTAAGTGGATATTTGGTTTGAAATGGCAAGGCATATTATAATTGTAATGATGAAAATATGTTAAACTATTTAACCATAACTTCTGTTCTATTTACTGACTGGTGTCTCATAAAGGAAAGCTTATTTAGTATCAAAGTAGAATCATAGGAGCAAGAAGTTAAGTTTTTGTTCCAACTACGTCACCAAAGTTACTTTCAGGTTATCGATAAGATTCACAGAGATGGCAGGCAGATGCCCCCTCAAATGGAAGCAGATACCTTGCCAGTTAAATGCATAAAGTTTGCACTTATAGAGGAGAAGATCTCATTTCACCACAGAAAACAGAAGAGGGGAAGAAACCAACAGTTAAAAAAAAAAAAACCTTTGAGGCTCATACCATTATGCCACCCTCTACTCCTCACCTTTTCTCTTACCTACTGACTCCTCCTCAGTCAGAACTGCCTCCATATTCATTGAGATGCCTTTGGCAATTGTCTCATATCCACCTCTCCATCCCAAATCCTGGCATCATCTGGGGTGGTTTCAGTGTCCTCAAAGAAATGCTTTCAAACCCCCTTGACTTTAAATTTCTAGATTTCTTCAGTTCTGTTCATCTCCGTCACCACTTCACTTACACCACCCATGTCCACAGCAGCACCCTGAGTAGAATCCACTCAGCCTCTGCAATCCTAAAAGCCAAAAAAATAAGAAAAATCTCCAACCACAGCCTCACAGACTCTCACTCTCATCACACTTGCTCTCTGACATCATCAAGACTTCCATTTCCTTGGCCTCACTCTGTTGTCTGCATTCACTTACACTCCTAATCATACTACACATCACAATTGATCATTTAAATCACTTTTTGCCCCATCCACCAACTCTCTTTTCCCTTTAAACTTCTGTCACACCAGCCCAACAAAATTCCAACCCTGGATTACTCCAAACATCTTTTTTTTCCACTTCTACACCAGCCTATTGAGCATTGCTAGAGGTAGCAACGCAGTCATTTAGGTTGGTGCCACCACAAAGTCATGGTCTCCAGCCTCAGGGAGACCGTCAATATCACCCAGGAGTTCTATGTGCTTTGAATGTGCTCCCTCTCCCCATCTCCACAACATGTATTTCAAACCCCTTCACCCTCCTCAAGCCCCCCACCCCATCATTTCACTGCTCATTTCTACCTCATAGAAAAAAAATCTAGAAACAATCAAGAAGGTACTGACTTAATTTCTTGCTCGCCATCAACAAACTTATCTGTGTCAAGATCATCCTCACTGCCAGGTTGAAGAGATGAGGAGCTGTCTTTCCTGAACCAAATTCAATGGCAATTTTTTAAGTGACCAGCATTTATTAAGTTTTTTCAAAATGTTTAACTTAATGCAAACAAAAACTTTTTTTGCACTTACGTTTCATTGGTTCACCTAATCAACCAAACCCATTGCCGTCGAGTCGATTCCAACTCATAGTGACCCTATAGGACAGAGTAGAACAGCCCCATAGGGTTTCCAAGGCTGTAAACTTTATGGAAGGAGCCCTGGTGGCACAGTGGCTAAGCACTCAGCTGCTAACCAAAAGATCAGTGGTTCAAGCCCACGAGCAGCTCCGCAGGAGAAAGATGTAACAGTCATACACAGAGATGGGTCCTTAACCTTTGGTGTCACTACCCTTTTGTACACATTCCATGGTGCTAGTGTCAGAAACCAGACACTGGAGGAGCAGATTACAGGTCTTAAACAGCATGAATGACACCTCTTCCAATTAACAGAGAAAGCTCTCCTTGCTTACCCACTAAAAATCCTGTATCGTTTCTATTTCGTGCAATTACAAATTGTTTCCAACCTCATCAGAGTCCTAAGTATTGCTGAGTAATTAATACTTTCACTTGGGCATAATCAGTAGATCTGCTGGACAATCTCTGTTTGCTCTTCCAGAACCATTCTCCACCCTGTTTTGTGCCCTGGAAGGCTGATCTGTATGGACTACACATCAATGGGCTCCCTTGGGCTTCGGGCTGGGCTCAACAAATGGGAGACTCTGGCAGGAAACTAGAGATCAGTAAGACTAGTTGGCTGTCTTTCCCTGCCAGCCAAAGTTTGGCAGTCATTGTCTCCCTCTACTGAAGGGCACAATTCCTGAAAGATGATCCTCTCCTACAGCCATGGTTCTGTTTTATAGTTGCTCCCTCTTGCACATTTAGGAGTCCTGGTGGTACAGTGGTTAAGAGCTTGGCTGCTAACCAAAAGGATGGCAGTTCTAATCCACCAGCCACTCCTTGGAAACTCGATTGGGCAGTTCTGCTCTGTCCTACAGGGTTGTTATGAGTCCGAATCGACTTGATGGCAGTGGGTTTTTTTTGGTTTTTTGCACGTTTGGGCCTAGGTGTAGTAAAGCTGTTGCTAGCTCCCGGGCACTCTACCATCCCTTATTGCTTTCTCTTAATCCTGCCCATACCTTTGTAAATAGTGCCTTCATTCAACTTTCTCCAAATATCTCTCTTGAGTGTGTCATATATTTATGCTGGGATCCTGACAAAGATAGTCCCTTTTCCCACTACTCAGAGACACAATTGCAAGACATTACTATTCTCTGTATTCTACTCAAAGCTCAAACTCTAGAAAGTATTCTCCTAAACCCCATGTCCTCTATTAACTTAGGCTGCTTGTCACCAACAATCTGGTACTCTCCAAGAATCACACATATGCCTCTATTGAAGAGTTATACACTTTTTTCTTTGTCACATTTCTTTGAATGTTTTTCTCTTCAAAAGGGTAAGACTGTATTAATCCTTTCAGTAAACCAGGATTTTATCAGAGAACCAAATAAATAAAAAAACACTTCACCTTTGTAACATAGTTTATAAAGAAAATGTTCCACATTCTACTTTGGTGAGTAGCATCTGGGGTCTTAAAAGCTTGAGAGAGGCCATCTAAGATACTCCACTGGTCCCATACCTTCTGGAGCAAAGGAGAATGAAGAAAACCAAAGACACAAAGGAAAGATTAGTCCAAGGGACTAAGGGACTACAACTACCACAGCCTCCACCAGATTGAGTCCAGCACAACTAGATGGTGCCTGGCTACCACCACCAACTGTCTGACAGGGATCACAATAGAGGGTGCCAGAAAGAGTTGGAGAAAAACGTATAACAAAATTCTAACTCACAAAAAAAGACCAGACTTACTGGTCTAACAGAGACTGGAGAAACCCCGAGAGGATGGCCCCCAGACACCCTTATAGCTCAGTGATGAAGCCACTCCTGAGGTTCACCCTTCCAAAGATTAGACAGGCCCATAAAACAAAATGAGACTAAATGGGCACATCAGCCCAGGGGCAAGGACTAGAAGGCAGGAGGGGACAGGAAAGCTGGAAATGGGGAATCTAAGGTCAAGAAGGGGATAGTGTTGACATGTCGTGGGGTTGGCAACCAATGTCACAAGACAATATGTGTATTGTTTAATGCGAAACTAGTTTGCTCTGTAAACCTTCATCTAAAGTACAAGGAAAAAAAATACCTTGACTTTATTGCTTTTCCATGCTAGAATCACTCCACACTTCCGTCCTTTAGCCTACTGAAAACCACTCCCAAATCTAGGACTTAATCATCAGATCTCTTAAGTAGCAGCAGAAAGCATATTGACCAAATGGTCTTCATTGTCTCCCCTACATGCTAAGGTACGTGACCCAACAGAGACCCAAATAACAAGCTCCTACAGTGTCCTGTCATCATCTTGTTCATCAAAAATATTTTTCCATCAACAGAGATTGAATCATATTTCATTATGAAGACATGAATTTTATAGAAAAATTATACGGCAACATTAAAACATACCAGAAATAATATCTAAGATATCTCTGTGGAGTTAAAAATTCACTATTACGCTCTTAGAAAGTACTTGTATAGATACAAGCTATGAACTATAAGGAAGCAGAACAAGAGCCTAGAGAAATATACGAGAGGCTGAAATGCATACCCTGGGTCCCCCATGTGCACAGGGAATGCCAGAGGCCTATGGGAGTAGGGGGATTCTCACTCAAAGGTCTCTAGAATCTACTTTCATGAATGCTAAGATCTTTCTGAAAGATGCCAAACTAGCCTGGGCTGGGCCATGAAAGCCGAGAATTGGTGCCTTCCAATATTCCAGGCACCAACGACCTCTACTCAAACTAACCCTACATCCTAGATGTTCTAGCACAACCCCAGAGACCCATTCTGCAGTGGGGATGAGGAGGAGGGGGTCTGGGCAAGAGTTTCATAGAGGAGGTTAACAGAGGACCTGATTTTAAGTAATACATAGAAGTTTGCCAGACAGGGAAAATAAGGAAGAGAATTCTAAGCAAAGAAATCAGAAGGCACAAAGACACAGAGGTAGGGAAGTGAATGGCATTTGGGGAAAGGGCAAAAAGAGCATATGGAAGAAGGATAAGATGTGGGAAGGAGTGGTAGGAGAGATGGTATCAACATTGCTGGGGATTAAATTATAATGAACCTTGGGGGCTAGGCTACACTTTGAAACTTATCATAGGGGAAACAGCCACTGAAGGTCTCTGAAAAGAGAACAGACATAATGAGGCCTAAGTATTTCCTCCATGAGATTATACTCCCCTTGAGGTAAGGATTTGTCTTCTACAATTATTTATGTCATCCAGTGGCTTTTACACATAGTTGGAACTATGATTTTCATATTTCTGTGTCCCCCAGCACTTCCCATAGTTCACTGCACATAGCTAACAATGAATAAAAGAGTTATTATTATAGTCTTCCCTAAAAGATGTACACCAATGACTGATTGTACTTGCCAAGGAAGTAAAAACATTAAGCCAAAACAGGAACAAGGAATAAAAAATTTACAGCTAATGCTCAAGATCTGCCAACGACTGCCAACCAACATTAGCCCAAGTCGAAATCTGCATAGTTAAAATCCAGTGAAAATATAATGATCAGAAGCTTTCACTTAAAACCTGTAAACAATGAGGAACAACTCAGAAAAGGAGGGTGAGAATGGTCACACAACTCAAAGAATGTAATTAATGTCACTAAATTGTACACGTAGAAACTGTTGAATTGGTATATGTTTTGCGCTGTGTATTCTCAACAACAAAATAAAAAAAATTTACAAAAAATAATAAAACCTGTTAACACGTTTGATTTGGTGTCTTTATCTTTCCTGACTGATGAAAATTTAATATCTCCTCAAAGTGATGAAGTGCTTCTTATGCTATTGTATATGTTCAACTTTTGGTATCTTTTGATCAAGATAGAATGTTACGTTTGTGTTAATTCAAGCAAGGAGGTAGGGAGCCAGGATTTTCCTTTATCACAGCAATCAGAGACTCATTCATGACTGAAAATGAGAGTAAATTTTGTTTTCTCTAACAACATTTCTAACTAGTTCATCAGAGCAAAGAGAGTCCAAGTTATTGAAAATTAAAATATTTTAATATTAGCAAGTAACTTCCATAGCTATCACAAAGAAAGAGTCTAAAATGTATTTGCTTGATCTTATGGTAACTGGGCAATTACATGTATTATTTTTATTCATATCAGAATCATGAAATTACTGACCATATATACAAGAAATTCTGTTTGATTAATAAAAGATACGACCCCAACAACTAAGATCCATTCTAATACCCAGAATATAGCAACTTAGATTTACATAAAACCAGTCCCTTTCTCCATTCCAAAGACAGGAACCATGACTTCACACTTACTCAGGGACAAAACTAGCCCAAGCTCCCCTTTCTGTGCACACTGGAGCTGGCCAGAGCACCTGGGCAGACCTAACCCAAGGTAAAACTGTGAATTTTTCAGACTCTCTTTGGTGCTCCTTCTAGGGGAATCTCTCCTCTCCCTTTCTTGACTATTCTTCTCCTTAAATGCCAAGTGCTGTTTTTGGGCCTGGGAAGCCCTCTTCTCCAACCTCTCTCTAAACTTACCAAACCTGTGTCCCATTCTCTATCATTATATCTTTTCTCACTGATGAAAATTAAACATCTCCTTAAAGTAATGAAGTTTTTCTTACAATAACCTGGGGAATCAATCCTCAACAAACTAGGAATTCCTAGTTAGAATGCTTATGAAGCCCTACAGAGGAATCTGTGTTCTAAAAGAGGGCTACTGGAAAGCATAAGGCAAAGAAATAATTCCTAAGGTAAGATTTCAAGCATTATTCAGTCAGGTATTTTGGCCAGGGATATATTTTCAGCACAACTCATGTCACTCCATGCATATAATCACATGGTAAAACAACTAGTTCACCTATATCTCAGCCTCTCCACACACAGACCAAATATAACTTAACCTTTCTAAAATTCAAAAATGTCAAATTTCATCTTAGCAGACACTGCTCTTGCTTCTAGGGTACCCTAGGGTTATATCCATGGCATACTATCGCACCATACCAAAATTATTTACTTGTCTGGCCTCCCACCCCAACAACTTGTAGGCACCTTGAGGGTGGAGACTGTATCTTTGACCCTGGAGGCTAGCACATTATTTAGCACATAGTAAGTGCTCAATCCGCCACATATCTGTCAGTTTGTCATACTGTACTGGGATAGAAACGATGCTGGAGATCACATGATAGAATTTTGCAAGACCAACAACTTCTTCATTGCAAATACCTTTTTTCTACAACATAAATGGCGACTAGACACATGGCCTCACCAGATGGAATACACAGGAATCAAATTGACTACATCTGTGGAGAGAGTCAATGGAAAAGCTCAATATCATCAATCAGAACTAGGCCAGGTACAGACATCGGAATAGACCATCAACTGCTCATATGCAAGTTCAAGATGAAGCTGAAAACATCAGAACAAGTCCACGAGAGCCAAAGTATGACCTTGAGTATATCCCACTTGAATGTGGAGACCATCTCAAGAATAGATTTGACGCGTTGAACACTAATGAACAAAGACCAGATGAGTTGTGGAATGACATTAAGGATATCATACATGAAGAAAGCAAGAGGTCATTGAAAAGACAGGAAAGAAAGAAAAGACCAAAATGGATGTCAGAAGAGATTCTGAAAGTTGCTCTTGAACGTAGAGTAGCTAAAGCGAATGGAAGAAATGAAGTAAAAGAGCTGAACAGATGATTTCAAAGGGTGGCTCAAGAAGACTAAGTAAAGTATTATAATGAAGTGTGCAAAGACCTGGAGTTAGAAAACCAAAAGGGAAGAACATGCTCGACATTTCTCAAGCTGAAAGAACTGAAGAAAAAATTCAAGCCTTAAGTTCCAACAGTGAAGGATTCTACAGGGAAAATATTAAATGATGCAGGAAGCATCAAAAGACAATGGAAGGAATACACAGAGTCACTATACCAAAAAGAAATGGTCGACGTTAAACCATTTCAGGAGGTAACATATGATCAGGAACTGATGGTACTGAAGGAAAAAGTTGAAGCTGCACTGAAGGCATTGGTGAAAAACAAGGCTCCAGGAATGGACAGAATACCAACTGAGACGTTGCAACAAATGGATACAGCACTGGAAGTGCTCATTCGTCTATGCCATGAAATTTGGAAGATAGCTACCTGGCCACCCAACTCAAAGAGATCCATATTTCTGCCTATTCCCAAGAAAGGTGATCCAACCGAATGCAGAAATTATCAAATAATATCGTTAATATCACATGCAAGCAAAATTTTGCTAAAGATTATTCAAAAGCAGCTGCAGCAGTATATCAACAGGGAACTGCCAGAAATTCAAGCCAGATTTAGAAGAGGACGTGTAACCAGGGATATCATGGCTGATGTCAGATGGATCTTGGCTGAAAGCAGAGAATATCAGAAATATGTTTACCTGTGTTTTATTGACTATGCTAAGGCATTCGACTGTGTGGTTCATAACAAATTATGGATAAAATTGCAGAGAATGGG